AGGTAAGTGATCTTAAATTCTATATGGAAATACCCATTGAAATGTAACCAGTGTTAGATAAATACATGTTTTAGAAGCCTAACCCAAAAAGAAAAGGAAATATTCAAAAAGCAGCAATAAAACTGATACAAGCCATCACAATAAAAGCTCACTTGTACATTATCTACTAGTCAGGCACTATAGTAAGATTGACAATATTTATATACAGCCATTTTAGATATTATTCATTTTACTGGTGAAGAAACCAGAGGCAAAGAGGAATTAAGTATGTGGCCCCAAGTCATATAACTTGTAAAAGTGGAACTAATTCCAGACAATGCTTTTCATAACTATGCTAGTTCATTTCTTTACTGTATCTTTAAGTTTCACAAGTCTTTCAGTCTACTTATCTCTGTAGCTGAATGATACCTTCCTTCCCTCAAACACATTTCAAATTTTGTACTCATCAAGCGACTTTCTGATATTTACCTATTTTTCCAAGCTCATTCTCTAGTTGGACAAAGATGGGTTGATCAGTCAAAAGGAATAAAAAGAAAACCCTGGAAGTGATAGGATACATTATGACACCAGGTATTCTGGTTTTGAACATTAATTTGGTCCACTTGACTAATCATGGAAGCATCAATATTCTCTTCTGAGAGTTACCATAATAGAGGAAAAACTGTGAACTCAGTCAAGAGCCCTGTACAAATCTACAGCTGCTAAAAACAACTCCATGCCTAGACAGCTAACAAAACAAAAAACAACTACTGCTGGTGTTAGAAAATGTCCGGCTGGTAGAAATACAATACATGCAGTTGAAAGCACTCTCACAATAGCTATCTTCCTTCTCCAGCAGAAAATAAAATGTTGCAGTTGTCTAATGTTTTTGGAATAAGGGTAAAGAAGACATGGGGGCAGGATTATTTCTTTTTTAAAGCTAAGGAAAAAAAAATCACCTAAGTAGCAGTTGCATATTGTTTTAGGACTAACTTTATTTTGGAAACAAAAGACAAGTGACAGGTCTTACTGATGGATGACAATTTCTTCTGCTATCTCCCATTCTATACCTTACATAATAGAAAACCTAATAATTTGGGAGAAGTCAAGCTGGATTTGAATTTCCTCCCCAAAGGTAGGCATGCAAATTCATCCTAGATTCATGGTCTCAAAACAAACCAGTATTTCTTTGGCTTTTGACCAGTCTTGCCAGTCCTTCCACATCTTAAATGCCTACAGGTTTACTGTTTTCCATAGTTTAGAGTCTATGCTCCTTTCCCAAGTTCAATTTTTTTTGTCTTTACATGGTATCAGCAGTGGTGATTCTCAGAAGAAAGTGAAACTAGAAACTAGAAAGTGAAACACCAAAAAATGGGAAACTGATCCATTTTAAAACTGGGAAGTAGCAGTGAGAAATGAGGATGCTCAGTGTGATGCGTGAGTCTCATCAGGAGAGCTGAAAATATGCTATTTTCATGGAGCCTTGTGTTTTGGTGTGGTAAAGGAAGGAGGATAGATTTTTTGAAGCATAGTGAATGGCAAATTAGGTACAGACTTAGAAAGCATGGATTTTGTATAGTAAAAATAAGAAGAGGAGCTATGACTAGGATTTTTTAATCACTGATTCAATTTAGGATTTAAAAAATTAATCATTGATTCAATTTTCTTCAAATTTCACAGTCTTTTTCTGAAAATACACCCCAACTTCCATTCTGTCTTGTTCAATAGTCAAAAATTTAAATTAATAAATTTTCAGTGATTTGTGACTTCATTTCAATGGAAAGGAAGAAGGGCAGACCAGTCACAGGATAACTGGATGACAAATGGCAGACATAAAAGGAAAGACAAAAATACATGCGCGTGTCTATGCATGTGTTACATATGTAAGTCACCAGATGAACTGGACTCAACTATACAAAAGGGAAAGAAGCTTTGTTCAAACGTATTGACCTCATACATATTCAGACTATCCAAAGAAGATATTTTGTTTATTCTCACTATTTCGAGTTGGAGTCAACTTTGAAAGAGCAATACAATTACAACTGACAAACTAGCAATACAATTACAACTGACAAACTAGTTTTTATCGTTTACTTCAAGAATTCTATAGGGCTTCTTCTGAAAAGAATCTATTTTCATTTGAAAATAGATAAGCTCTGATATCTGCCATAATATTTCAAATATGTATAAACTCATCAACATTTAATACAACAGAAGCAAGGTGACCCTTTCAGAACTTTAAAAAACAGAATCTTCCCACTAAAAGCAACAGTCATTCCTATAGGCAGACACACAACCATACAGTTCTTGCCTTACACAATCATCTCTAAATCCCATACCCAACTGAAGTTTGTTCACAAAGTTTCACAAAATTGCTTAAATAGAGAAAGTTAATAAGCATGCTTGTTAAATCCCATCATAAAGTAACCTACTTCTAGAGAAAAAATCTTAGAGAAAGCATAATATAAATGAAAGTGGCCTTTCCCTCAGAAGTTAGAAAACAGAGCTAGAGACTCTTTTTATTATTGCCAATAGTGTCCAAAAGAAGAGACACAACCTATTTAGAACAAATTATGTCTGGAGTAGCTTAGGACCTGAATCATTAAGCACTTGTGGTTTTCAGCAGTGTTCAGAGGGACATAAGCTGTATATCAGAAACAAGGAAATAAGGAATATATATTTTCAAAACAACCTAAATCTGACCTACAGAACTCCAACTGCATTTCAATATGAAGCAAAGGGTAATTCTCTATACAAATCCAGATTTACCCAGTGTGCCTCTATGTATACTGAAAGTCAGTTTGTAAGTCTAGGAGAATGAGCAGGAATAACCTTATTACCACTCATGTGATAGAAAAGAAAACTTACATTCTAAGAGGTTCAAGAGCTTCTGGCAACTGATAATTTCCATCCAAAGACAGTTCTTTTATAAAGTTATTTGGTCCATTGATATTAGGAAGGAGAACTGATGCTGGCAGATATTTCTTCCAATCTTAATACAATCACTTTCTGGCTAAGTCTTCAATAATAATAATTTTGATGCTCCAGAATTCAACCCAACAATTACACTGACAAAACCATTTCTAACTTGCAAAGCTGTTGATACCTGCACTATGCAACACATGATAGGAGAGCCCTGCTATACAATTTGAAACACCTGTTGGGTATCTACCTAAATGAAGAAATTCTGACTTGTGTATTAATAAATTTAATAATAAATGAATAAATTCATTCACATTCTCTACCCCAATCCTTTTCCCTCTTTTCCTTTCTCCTTTCCCATCTCCATTCTCCCACTCCAACAGTATGTATGTGGCAGGGGTCCATAAACTTACCCTGTAAAGGACTAGACAACAGTTTAGTTTTGGGGGGCTCTGCCTTTGTAGCCCAAAAGTAACCATAACCAATCTGTAAATGAATGGGTGTGGCTGCATTTCAATAAAAATCCTTACTAAAACAAGAACTTGGTCAACTTAGCTCACAGTGCTATAGTGTGTCAACTCCTGGTTAAAAAGCAGCAGTTGTCCAACTTTAGCCTGCATCAGTAATACCTATAGGACTTAGTACACAGATTACCGGGCCCCTTTCCTTTAAGTGTTTGATTTAGCAGGTATGAGTGGGACTTGAATGTTTGCATTTTTAGTAAGTTCCCAAGTTATGTTGATGCTGCCAGTCCACAGAGCACACTTTAAGAGCAAGTGGTATAAAATAATGGAAGGCTGGAAATGTGATAAACAATTATGAAAACAGAAATCACATGCTGTAAACTTGACTATTAATTTATAAAACATGTCATATGCAGACTTACTGTTAAGTGCCATAATATTATCTGTTCCTGGATGATGGAAATTTATTCCCATGCGTCCTAAAATATAAAGTAATTTTATTTTGAGTACAAATAATATTTAATATAATTCATTTCAACACACAGTTAAAATATGAACATTACAAAAAGCTAAAATAATCTATAACAATGCTATCAACAACCACAATATTATAGTAGTTTTTAAATCAAGTCATAAAACATACACATGAATAGCCTTAAAACAAAGCCAAATTTCAATAATAAATAAATAAGACAAAATAAAACAAAAAGAAGCTTCTATAAGAGGAAAAATTGTCACCAGAGCAAGGCTATGATTCAGAAGGAAGAATTTATGTTCTGGTTTTAGTTTGCTACTTTCAAATAATCAAGACCTCATTTGAATTCATTATCATCAAATACTAGTATATAGGAGAACTTGATTTGATCTGCTCTAAAATAGTTTCCATTTCTGTGGTATTCAAGTTTGGCATTAGATAGCCAGTCATTAAAAACTCATCAAGAGCTCAAAATCACTGCCCACCAGAAAGTAAAGAAATGGCAGATAGAGGTGTCTCTTCATTTTGACCAAGCAATATTTCAGATGTGTAAGTGACTCCTAAAGGCTAAGGATGTTCTCTAAACATTCCTAGAATAATGAAGAATTGTCAAGAAAACGAAGCAAACCCAAATTTAGCTGATGTTCATTCAATTTTTTATTTCCTGTGCTACAATAATTTATGGTAAAGAATTATGTAGTTTATAACCACTACAGCAAAGAGTTTTGATACATTTCTGAAACTACTTATGTCCCCAAATTTAAAAAGGTGGCCCTTTCTGAAATCCTCCAGAAATTGGATCCTTTTTTGAATACTTCCCATTAGGTTAGCCTAGAAAGATGAAATTGAAAATGAACTCAGTAGTTTTCTAATTATCCTCTATGGCACGCTTCTGAAACATCCTCATTAAAGATGCAGTAAAACCAGAGTCTTAAGCAATGTTTTGCAGATGAAGGCTCAATGACTCACTGAAAAACAGAAAACTTTTTGCCTTTCCTTAATTTTACTGGTCTCTTCTATCTCAACAGATCTCTGGATCAAGGTCAACAAAGGATTTTATAAAAAACTCTTAAGTCATTGCAAGACCCATCAGAACAAATTATCTCAATATGATCTAATTATTTTCCTAACAAAATACAATTTTTTTCCACTTGTGGCTTATTTAAACTAGTTTCTTTACTTCTTCAAAAATTAATGTTTAGGCAATAAAATGGAATATTTTTACTAGAAAAAATTAGACAATATAGAAAAAAGAAGAAAAGATCACAAGCCAAAGAAAAGCAGTTTTATCATTTTGATATGTAGTCTTCCAGTTAGAGAACACACATATAAAGGATTCTTTTCTAAGGCTGTAATTATATCATAATTTTATTTTACATTTAATATATATCTTATATTAAAGTTATTATAGAATTTTAGGGGGGAAAAATCTAATAGCAAAAGAAAAATTGATCCTAAATACAGATAGGGCTCTTCTTTTTTCTTCCTTTTGTCCAACAAATACTGCTGTTTAATCAGCTGTGAAAATAGAATCAAGTGTGGGACATCTGGTGATTTGTGCTATTGCAGTCTGGTGCTGCCAGGGTGACATTTTGTCACCTGTCTATGGTCTGCTATTTTAAAATTGTTCTTTTCAGCTAGCTGTCTTTTAAGAATAGTGTAAAATATAAGGTTTCGGAAACTGGAAGGCACACTTCGTTTTACTGACTCAAATAATGCTAGAGAAATTTGAGACTGTGTCCCACTTTCACCACTGCACAGGGCTGATAAATGGGGGTGGGGTAGATGAAGAAAAAGGCTAGAGAATAGGTTTACATATGGTTATTCAGACTGTAAAAATCATAGTCTCATAAGCTTGATTCACATTCATGTTTTTAAAAGTTAGTTATAAGAAAAATACCTCTGCTGTTATTCAAAGTTTGAGTCCAATTAAACCCATACTTTCCAATGCCCAAAATAAATATTCAAATTTTAAAAAATTCATAATTACAAAAGTCACCTCTTCACTTTTGCAATATGTTATGAGATAGGGAACAACTGTTGTATCTTCTTCTAATCATCCTCCTTGCTCTTAAAGTAAACTCCTCAGAGGGCTCCACACAAAGAATATAAATGTTGCATTCCAGAAAAGGTCCATATTCTACAGGATTCTAATTTTCTACCAATTTTCTCTATAAAGTTGAAGATACATTCCTTCAGAAAACTATCCACAAGGTATAATTATATGATAAATAAGAATATAATAAAATGGCATTTTGATCCTTTTTGAGGAACAATCATAGAAGTTCAAAGTATTAGTATTCCAAATATGTTACCAACAACCAAGAAGTAAAAGTTGTGAGGTCATTAGACCTGAGGTCAAATCCTAGTTTCTTCACATATCAGTAGTGGATTTATTTTTGGCAAGTTATCAATACCTGTGTGCTTATACCCTCTCATTTCAGTTTATAATCTAGAACAATTCAGTCAGAATTTCTGAAGGTACCTAGGATTAAAATACCCATAATAGTTTTCTTTTAAAATCTCAGGAAATTACACGGCTATATTTGAAGGATTATTGGGTAAATCAATAGGAGGTATTTGTTAAAAAACAACAACACACAACTTCTACCTACTATACCCTTCTTCCAGGAATGTATAGAACTCAGAATCTGTCACCCAACAGTTTGTGGAGTCTATTTTTATACAAGATAAACTGATGTGGGTTGAAAGAAGGTAGCACAAAAATAGAACTGGAGCAATGATTAAAGGTACAGGAGGAGTAAAAGACAGTATATTTTTCTGGAAAAACAAAACTTAAGTGCTTTTTTTTTTTAACTAGGGGACTTCTACATTCCATAAAAGGTGCCAATTTAGTGTCAATTTAAGTTGCAATGAATTTGAAAAATGCCTTTATTACAATGAAGTGACATTTATCTCTTCCAAGTTTCTGTCAATTTGCATATTTTAAATCACTAAGGATAGTTATTTTTTCAGATTCAGTATAGAGTTGAAAAGCAAACCCTGCAATATCAGTTCTCAACTGACACCTGTTCTTTTCATTTTCAAATTTCAGTTCCATGAAAGAACAGAGAAAGAGAAAATTCAAATATATAAAAACATTTCTTCAGGCATTACTCCCAAGTAGTTAGCCAGGCCTCATCTTCTGCTTAAGAGAGAAACATGACTCCCATTTCTGCTTGCAGTGAGGGGAAAGTCACAATGCCCATATACCAAGGTTGGTATTTCCCTATTATTCTTTTCTTTCTTTACTTCATTCCTTTTGAACATTACTCCTAAGAGAGGGTATGATTAATCAAACTTAATGAACCTAGGTTTTCACAGGGATTCCCCAGTGCTGAGGTGACCCTCACCATTAGCAGCAGGTTGTGGGGCAGCTATCAGGAGGGTGGAAGGACGAACATTTTCCCTATCTCTTACCCTGTTTCTTACAACGTTAGAGTTAGATATTCCTCCACCCTATTAGATAAGAGAGCAGAGAAAAAGTCTTCTACCTAGGCTTTGCTCCTATCTCAACCAATCCAAAGATTTCTATGTTTATGAAAGGAATAAGAAGAATTTCCATTAGTTCATCCTCCTTCTCAAACCCACCCCACCCCTTAGCAATATGAAGCATTTTCTTATGTGAACAATAAAAACATTCACATAAGATATAGTAAGAGATAAGTAATTTATTAAAATGCTATTCTGTTATAGCTAAGAACTATAGTTTGAAATCCTTAAATAGCAAAAAATAAACTATCTAATTTTTATTTAAATAAGGGTCTGTGATCAGGTCAACATGAAAAAGACATTCTTCAGTATATAGTAACAACAACAAAAACAACTCATTTTTTCCCTCTATTAACTTTTCTTCTATACACTTAACAGTTAATTTTTATCATGGGAGAGGAAATAAAGGGCCTTTTTTTTTTTCCCTAGTGTTTTGGAAGGAAGTTCCAAAAAGGAGCCCAATAAGGGGCCTTTTAACACTTCCTACAAGTATCTTCAGTGTTAACCTAGTTTAAGTATAAATATGATTAGAAAACTGCTAGAGCTCTGTACTACAGTTAACAAATCTTATTAGTTCCTGAACTTATTCACTTATTCTGTCATTTTCTACACTTATTCTCCCCCCCCCCCAATCATCAAGATAACAGTTAAAAAAAGGGATTTCTTATTGAATGCATTTCTAAGATAAAATACTTCAAATTTAACTATGGACAAACTTTCACGACATTCACTTAAGTGCTTAATTTTTCATGAATATGATATACTATTTTATTATATGTTCTCCATAATATTTAGATATACAGTTTTAGGAATCAATGTAATCTAGGAAGATTATTTTTTTTCTCTTTAAAGTGGTTTTACAAAATGACAACTTATCCTTCAACAACATTATTTAACTGTAGCAAATACAAAATTCTGATAACTTACATTTGAAAGTTTTCAATATCAACTAAAGACTATCTAATTCCAAGGACTAGGTAATATTGTAATATTGTATGAATATATCTAGAGAAATCCCTAGTAGGGATATAAATGTTATTCAAACACCATCTTCAGAGGAAAAAAAGAATGGTAGATAACATTTGAGCAGTTTTTGGTGTCAGAGATTTATTTGATCTTCATTCTGACTCTATGAAGTATGTGCTGTATTTTAGACACTGAAACTATGAACAATTTCACTAGTTTGTATAGATCAATAGGCAACTAAGGCAGAGTCAGAATTCAGACCCAGGTTTGAATGATTGCAAAGTCAGAAAGACAACTAAAATTTTATCTCATATAAAGATAACATATCTAAAAGGCTGTTAACAAAAAATCTTTGATATCTTGGTTGTGTCTCAGGTGATCTATTCACCTTTTGTCCTTTAATGCGCTAACTGAATTTCTTTAGTGGGCAAGATTTTTTTCCCAAAGAAAACTGAACTCCAGAGAAAAATGCCAAAACAAGCACATATATATATATATATATATATATATATATTAACCCACCAGTAATTCTATAACCTGATTTTGAGGCCCTCAAAATAGTGTTCCCATATTTAAGTGAAAGAAAACAAATGTAAGAGGGCAAACCAAGAGGGAATAGAAGTTTTTGGTTTTTTTTTAACAGATTCTTACAGAAGCTATATTAGGTTCCATAATCTTCTACCTTTCTCTTTTTAAAACTCACCTAGATACTTCCATCTTTTGACCCACGACCCTCTCTGAATTTACTACAAAGAAAAACTATGTGCAAGAACTCACCCCTGGTAGTATTAACTATAACAGGAGAAAAACTTGGAACAACCAAAAGTGCTAACCAAAAACTTAGCATCCAAAAGTATTCAAAAGCCTATCAATAAATTATAAAACATAGATAATGTTTATTATGTAAGGTATAGAAATAAAGAATGTTTCTTTGTTTTTAGCTAACTTTTGTTTCCGTAGTTTTCTTGATCAAAGGGGAAAAAATACTACCTTTTCTTAAAAATGCTAGCATCAAAACTGCTATTATCAGTAATAAGGATCAAGCATAAGGTGTTATAAACCAGACCTGTAAGTCTCCCAGCTGGTAAAGGAAGGCGGGAGCTCAAACACTCTACCAGATGACAATGATAAAGTAATATAATTGACCATAGGAAGTGGTCCATTCATAGGAAATCACTTCGGGTGTTTTTTAAGATAAACTAAGATGATGTAATGCAACCATACTAACCCATAAAATGTATGTATTAGCTGTTTTCCAGCTTACTAGTACATACTATAACTATAACATAGTGCAGAAGATGAAACCCCACAGTTGCAAGAATAATGGAAAATTCATGTAGAGACAGATAAACATCCAATTAAAAAAGAAACTTTCACAAGTGGAATAAGGTATTTACATTACCCTATAGTGAGGTACCCTCCTTACACTTTGCCAGTGCAATTCTCACAAGGTACAATTGTTCCTGCTTAAAACAATATTCACAAAATTCTGGAAGATTATTTTATAGACTATAAGATCCTTTCATGATCTTTTAATGCTAGAACACAGATTAAGATGAACAGGTATGCATCAAGAAGGGTTGAAATTTTTAGAGTAATTAGGAGAAAATTTAGAACAATGATTGAGAAGGAAGATAACTGCAACTTCAGAAGATACTAAAAACACAAAACAGTGTGTGAAAAACACCGGCTTCTTTTTTTTTTTTAACACCATTCTCACTTCTAAGTGAAATGTACTTCAAATTACCATGTGCTTAATCTTTTAACCGAAAAAAGATGTGGTAACAGTGACTAAATATAACAATGAATAAATGAGGTTTTTTTTCCTACTTCTGAAGGCCTTGAAATATAGCTTTGCTCAAAATTCTTTATTTTCTTTATTGCCTGTTCACTACTTTCTTTTTACTGGAAATTGAGGAAAAGAGAAAAAGTCATGAGTGTGACAAGAACATGAACAAGTGGTTTTCTGGTTTGGCTTGAGGAAATATACATCAGGTATTTGTTGTCAGTTATACTCTATATAAGGACCTGGAGAGAACCAGAAGAGACCAAATTCCTCACAACTTCAGATGACACAAGGGTTCATACAAGATGGGTATTACTGTGGCTAACTCTTCACAGTTTATAGACATTTGGCTCCAAACCAAGTACAGTGGATATTTCCATTGATTATTTTTAATTACGGTAGCTCTAAATATCATAGGGCCCCTAAAGCATCCTATAACCCAAAAGACAAATTACCTGTGACAGTGACTATAGATTTCATTACTTCATATATACATACAAGAACTAGGGTATAGGCCAGAGATATGGGGGTCGGTGAGAGGATTCACCAGATACGAGTGGTGAGCAGAACAGGTAGGCTGATTGAAATAAACTATTGAGGGGGACAGTGGGTGGGCGAGACAAAAGAGTTTCATGTGGGTCAGCTTTCTGGACGGGGTCCTAACTTGTGCTGCAGTGGCTGCAGGTAGCTCGAGAGTGCTGAAACTTAACCTCTTGCGCCACCAGAGAGGCCCTGTGATAACAAATGTAACGCGGTATCCATTCTGAATTTACATGGATCTAAAAACAAGAAGCCTTAATATTGCAGACTTTGAGACTTCTGTCTTATATTCAACCCAAAACTTTTATATATACTTTAATAGATTTTCCTCATGTTTAGTATTAGAAAATGCAGTAGGATACTGATTGTTCTTATATCTGTGCAGTGATACTTGCTGTAAGTAGGAAAGTGATTACATCTTAAAATGGCACCCTTTTCTACGAAGTCTTTAGAAATTAGTTTACTAAATCTTTGTTCTAGTGTACGTGGAATTAAATAAGTTATCCAGAGACAGGTGAAGATTCCAAATGCACAAAGCTCAAAAAAAGGTTGAGTTCTGAACTCACGCTATAATCACAACCTCATCTAACTAAGACAAACTTCTGCTGAACATTACTGATTAAAGCAATCAACCATGATCATGATAAGGTTATTGTAGCTGATCCCAGAGTTTTTTTTTTTTTTTAAATTAACTTTAAGTACATTCCACAATGCTTTACAGAAGCAAAATAAAAACAAACAAACAAAAAACAAACAATCCCCCAATCACAATTAATAAAAAGCTGATTTTTTGTTTAAAACACCAAGCAAGGAATGGACATATGAATATTCCTAACCTGCAAAATGATTCCTCCACATTATATCAGCGAAACTCATTGGTGGGCCACTGGGAGGGTAGTGTTTACCTTTCAGAGGCTCATGATCAGTCCTTATCATATCCATTAAGGAGTTCTCCAACGAGTGCAAGTTAAAAGTGTCATAGGGCCTACTCCGGTCCTAAAAAGAAAAACACAGAACAACAAAACAATGCATGAAATCACTACATAAATTAATACCGTATTATTTGCTTCTTGCCATGGATTGATGAAGAATCAAAGTGCCATTTAATTCTATTAACACAGTCTTTCTGTTCTTTTAACTTTAATTCAAGTTTCCAAATTAATTTGATTGCACTTTCTTCTATAATATCTTTTCATGTATACATTCCACAACTTCAAACTGAAATGAAGTAGAAAGCTAATTCAAATGGAAGAGTCAAGTGAATTGGCGTTGCCCTCTGCCCTTCACCCACTGCTTCCACTGTCAAATGAATATTCTATTGAATGAATAGAGGTATTTTTTATAGAGGAAGACCATAAGGGAGAACTCTTACTCTAAAAACTGAATCACTGTCTTGAAAAATCAAAAGGTAACTAAACTATAGTTTCAATGTAATTGTACCAGCTATCTTTATATTTATTACTAAGTTTAATATTTATTATCAATAAGTGTATCAATTAGATAAGTTTATCAAAATGTGTCTGAAGTACTAAAATTACTTTTTGCATAACAATCACATGAAAAACTTTAACCTAAGGAACTATTTTCATAATGTTAGATTAAATGCAAGCTCAGTGAAAACAAAAACATTTCACCCAAGTTCATTGGAGATAAATTATTCTTAACAGCCTGAGTCTAAAACAAAGTGAAGTTCATGACCTAGCTTATTACTATAGAACAGACTTTGGTTTTCTTTTGTTAAAGACAAGCAAGATAAACACCTCAGCATTCACATCAAATCAAACTAGAGTAATGACAGTATTTTCAGGTTTATCCAACCTTCTAAATCATTACTTAGACTCCTAAAAACAAGCGAATAACAAAATGTCAAATGAGATACCACTGTTAAAAACTTCAGTGACAGTGATTGTTTTCTACATTAAGTGAATATAATGGCACAATTTGTCATTTACTGTGTACCAGGCTAAAATGAGTAAAAGCTACTTTAAGATATTTGTTTGTACACATTTGTCAGATTCTGTTTCTTAGACTTTTGTGTTAAAATTCAACTACAGGGTCCTCCCTGGTGGCACAGTGGGTTAAAGCGCAGCCTTAAGAAGCTAAAGCCACTTCAGTATGAGTTCGATCCCCATCTCAGAGGTAGCCACACAAAGTGTGGCAGACCTCTCCTGGCCCGGTCACTGCTCCCCTCAGCAGTGTTCATTGATATGCCTGTTCTGCTCCCCACTCTGTCTCTGGTGAAGCCTCTCACCGCCCCTGCACCTCTGGCCTGTTCCCCAGTTCTGTATGCATAAATAAATCTTTTTAAAATTAAAAAAAATTTCAACTACAGATGTATATGAAACAAAACAAATGGAGATAATATCTCCCCCCCCCCAAAAAAAAATAAAGGATTTAGGAAGCTGTTTTCTTTTGGTTTCTAGAAACATGCTATTTGCCTATGCAGAGACACACAAAGAAAGATGACATTTCCTCAGCACAGAGAACATAGGAACCACTCAAAAGGTTCCTGAATGCAGTATGTATGTATGCAGGTCCTAAGGAAGAGCCATGAACTGGAACCAGGAAGCAAGAGTGCAAGAAAAATTCAATCAATTGGGACTTATCGGTACATCATGATCTACCTCTCCAATTTCACTGACATTTTCCCTTTATACAAATGAAAGAATTGAACTAGATTAACTCAAAAGTCTCAACCATGTACTTTTTTTTTTAACTCAGAGATGAGGAATGGGGTGCAGGACCCAAGTTTTATTTTTTAAATTATAGTTTATTTTTACATCATTTTGTGCCTTTTTCTGTATCAGTTGTAATAGGACCCAAGTAATTTTAAATGCACACACGGAAATCCTTTTTTTCTACTTCCCTACTAGACCTCTGAAAGTTGAATATTGTCACCTAGTCCCTGAATACTAGAACTAATACAGGGAGACATAGCCAATTAAAGTAAGTTTGTCATAAAGTAAGTTATGATAGGTATTTTAACAAAGGATTGTATACAGTATAAAGAAATGAAGTTATATCTACTTACAAAATAAATACTTGTATATGTGTATAGTATAATTTTAAAAATTGCATTCTAGGGCCCTCCCTGGTGGTGCAACAGGTTAAAGTACTATGAAGCTATTGCAGCCACTGCAGCATGAGTTCTATTGCCAGCCAGGGAGGTGACCCACATAGTACAACAGACTTCTCTTGACCTGCCTGTTGTTCCCTCAGCTGTGTATTTCAGTTGGTCAGCCTGTTCTGCAACCCACTCTGTTTCTGGTGAATTCTCCCACCTCCTACACCTCTGGCATGTACACTAATTCTGTATACATTTAAAAAAATCACATTCTGGGCCCTCCCTGGTGGCACAGCGGGTTAAAGCCACTTTCACATGCATGAGTTTAATCCGAGCCTGCCCTGGAGGTGATCCACATGGCGCTGCAGACCACTCCAGACCAGCCTGCTGCTCCCCTCAGCAGTGTACTTCGTTGATTTGCCTGTTTCTGCTCCTCTGTCTCTGGTGAATGCTCTCACTGCCCCCATGCCTCTGGCCTGTACCCCAGTTCTGTATGCACAAATAAATAAACCTTTAAAAGAAAAAATCACATTCTATAAAGTCCTAGGTGTTTTGACCTGCTATCTGACCAGGTATGAAGCTTGTCTTAAGTATTCCAAAAGTCCTCTGTTTTCTCACTGATAAAATGGGATTTTTAACTTTGAGGATTAGGTTGAAGTTATTAAGTATTTATTCACACTGTTTGCCAAAGAGCAAGTATTTAACATTTCTCAATTTACTGCTACCCTTCCTTTTTACCTCTACTCCATTAAAAAAATTATTAATTTATGCATACAAGAACTTAGGAGTCTCCTATCACACATGCACAAAAAGAAAATTGCTTGGAGGAGGATTCATGTATCTAAACTGAAGTGTTTCCCAAACAGTTAAAATATAGGTTCCTGGTCTTCGGTTAAAAACCACTTAATCATAACTTTAAAATAATAAATGTCCCAATCATTCTTATAACTGGCTAGGTTTGAGAGCCACTCAGATTGGATGGTTTTTCAGGTTAAGTTTTTTTTTTTAAGATTTATTTTTTTATTTATTCATATAGAACTGGGGTACAGGCCAGAGATGCGGAGGGTAAAAGGATTCACCAGAGACAGAGTGGGGAGCAGAACAGGCAGATCAATGAAGTACACTGCTGAGGGGAGCAGTGGGCGGGTCAGGAGAGGTCTACCGCGCCATGTGGTCACCTCCGGGGCAGGCGGGAATCGAACTCATGCAGAAGTGGCTTTAGCTTCTTAGTGCAGTGCTTTAACCTGCTGCGCCACCAGGGAGGGTTCCAGGTTATGTTTTTACCCCCATTAATCTGAACAGTACAGTGGGACACTACAATAAAGGAAGGCTCTAGAAGGAAAGTAGCAAGAAATAGTAGACCCACATCATGGGTCAGTTTCCCAACTGATTTGAGGTTAGAGAAGCAGTTGGTAGTTTGGTTTCCTGATATAGGGGAAATAAGGAAAACATCTTTTAAATTTCTTTTTTTTATCAGGACATGTTTATAAATAATTCATGCCATTACTGACTCTTTGACTGAAGATAACCAATGACAGATGCTGTCAATTAGCTGTACATAGAGGCAGCCCATTCCCAGCTCAATGGCCCTGCTTTCTTCCCCCCACCCCCCAATTTGGCATAATATGAAGAAATTTATCAAGCATATGTGCCTGGCACTGTTCTAAGCATTCTAAATGTACTATCTCTCAACTATATGAGGTAGGTAACCTTTACCTGCAGTTTATATGTTAAGCATGCAGAGATTAAGTAACAGGCCAAGGTTACAAGACTAGTCAGTGACAGAGTCAGATTCATACCCAGTCAAATTCAGGTTGTGCTCTTAAGGACTCTGATTTAGTGCCTCTGGCACTTCTTCCTAGTCCCTCACTGAAGTCTTTTTCCTAAATTCCCCCTTCAAACTAATTTTCACAGAACCCAGAGAGGCCTCTTTGACTCCACCTGCAAACAGGAAATCTAACCCTCACTTGCCCTTGGTCAATTACCCTTGCTCAACTGTTAAGCTCAGGAAGTAGCTTGATCTACCCACCAGCAGAGCCCCACGCCCTCTCTCTCCCAGTTATATCCCATCCCTTTGACTTTCTCGTGGAGAGAGATCAAAGATGTTTTCTATACTTACAGGCTTATACCCAGACATTTCACCTCCCAGGGACACAAGGTAAAAGGCTGCAAGTGGGCATTAGCGTATGAGGGCAAAAAACAGCTCTGGAGTCAAAAGACAAAATAAGCCACGGTGCCTTCCACTTACTCAGCAGTGAGGTAACTAACTGCTTTAGAGACATGCTCTTATCCCTTACCCAAACTCTGCAGGGTAAGCATTATCTCCACTTAACAGAAGAGAGAAGTGAGGCTCACAAAGATTATGTAAGTGTTCAGTTACAAAACTGGTCAGAGAACAGGACATGAACACAAGTCTGTGACTTTCAAGTCCATGCCAGTAACATTCCAGTAACATTCCAATGCTTCCATACTGATCATTTGCCATTTGCTCCATGAACAACAGAGGTGTGCCTGGGAAGGAAGGGGTATAGACAGGATCAAAAATCAAAAGGTGCAGGCCCTCCCTGGTGGTGGAGCAGGTTAAAGCGCAACACTAAGAAGCTTAAGCCACTTCCGCATGAGTTCAATCCCGCCTGCCCTGAGGAGATCCACGAGGAGATCCACGTGGCGCAGCAGACCTCTCCTGACCTGCCCACTGCTCCCCTCAGCAGTGTACTTCGTCAATCTGCTTGTTGATCTGCCTGTTCTGCTCCCCACTGTCCCCTGGTGAATCCTCTCACCCTCCACATCTCTGGCCTGTACCCCAGTTCTGTATGAATAAATCTAAAAAAAAAAAATCAAAAGGTGCATCTATGTTTGGAAGGAGTAGGAAAGGATAAAGAGCATCATAAAATTACAGAGGAAAACAAGAAAAGGAAATCCTGAAGGAAGG